ATTTGACTAACAATAGACGGTTCGAAACCCACCAATGACTGATGACAAACTTTACGCGAGTCTTTCAGCCAATACCATCATGGCTAAACTGACCAATAACGTTCAACGGACCAGATCGACTTATAACATGATCGACTGACAAACACTATTCACTTGACTGTGAAGGTGACTTCCGCTCAGGTTGTCGAAACGTCAGTCACCAACTACAGTTCTTTTCAGAACTACCCTCACCCGGACGATCACACTATACGAACTACTGATACTCCTGGGTTCAAACCATTTACTATGGTTATTATAGGTAGCTAATAACATGTTTGTCAGTTTCAAAATTAATGTATTCTTCTCTATTTCCTTTTTGGTATGATTAAATGTTGTTGTTGTTGTTGTTAACAACCGAGTTACGATTATGGGCTTAGGATTCGCACATTTCTGCCTGCCTGCTTACCTACCTACAATACTTAGTTAACTACCATTGTAATTAGTTGGTTATCTACTTAGCTACCTACTTAACTTAGCTATCACCTTACCTTAAACGTACCGGGTGTCTGGAAAACCCGAATAGCGAATAGTCCCGAATAGTGCGAATAGTCTCGAATAGTGCGAATACTGGCGAACAGTCGCGAAAAGTGGCAAATAGTGACGAATAGTCGTCAATGGTCACCGCTTTAGATCTAATATCCAGCGTTAATTAATTATCCAAATAAGCAACAGAATTTCAGTGAATTTATTACCATTTCTTCTCCGGACTCAGGCTAGTAGGCTGTCTATCGCCGACATTAAGAAAACAGAAAACACAAGGATAACCTAATAAAGACGTATTTACGCTTTTGTCATTTACATTTCAAATTCATAAGTAAAATATTGTTTTGCTTTCCATTGTAGATTAAACATTTTTTTGCTGACTTTTATTGTCTGCAGGTTGTTTTCATGGAGCTTATGTTTTATCTGCCCTGATGTCGTTAATAACAATGCTTCATTTCTTGAAGTGCCACAGGTATGCTTTACTTAATTAAAGGAGACCTTCCTTCCAGATCACTGATGAAAGAATTGAATGGTTAGATAGATTCATGATAAAGCCAAATTATGCTATATGCTTATGCATGTCAAAAATCTCTACAGTCTTCAGGTAACCAAATGGTTGTCTAGGGGATTCGTATTAACTATTACTTAGTCACGTGAAAATACAAAACAATACAATACAAGTTTACTGTGTAATACACTTAGCTATTCATGATCTGGTGTAACATTACATAATGGAATGTTAGACCAGCTAATTTACAGGTATTCCACTAAAAAAAATAATGTTGGAAATACGTAAGTTAAACCTAAAACTAAAGGGAATTGCAACGAAAAATTTACCGCAATTCAATAGTGTAAAGAGTCGAAGAATTGTACACTAATCCTTAAACTGTTTCATCAGCTCCGTTCTACAAAAATCTTTATTTTCTTTAAACGGCTGCGGTAAATTTTCATACATGGTTCTATAGACTCGGCGAGTTAGCCAAAATTCGAATTTTCTTTTATCGCATTAAGAAGACCTTTTTGGTGAACTGTTTTCAGAAATAAGCTTTAAAGGTTCCAATGAGTTCACATTTTAGTGAAATCTGGGAAAGTTCGTAATACCGCTTGATCAACCATGATAGCCAATGGAATTTATGCAAAATATTTAGCATTGTCAACAGGCCAGTACAGAAAGAAGGAAACTTGCCTTGATTTCATATTCACACAGTTTGTGATTTACGCTTTGATCATTTCTCTGAGCTAACTATCATCTTGAAGTAAACACGATTTGTCTACTTTTTGGCTGTTCGAAAAATACAACTATCACGATTTAATTTACAAACCAACTCTTCTAGTATACGAATATCTCGATAGATAGAGGTTCTGAAAAAAGACCTATGATATGGGTATACCATATCTAAATGGTTAGTTTGGCCCGTGAAAATTAAGCGCGCTACACGAAAAACCATGAAGGATATTTTGACTAATGGCGCCACTGTTAGACGGCCGAGCGAAAACTTCGACTTCGCAGTCATCTTTATAAATATAATTCGTTTTTGACCGTTTTGGCAGTGGCTCTTAAGATATGATAATGTTATTATTTCATATCTTTTTTTCGGTTTTAGAGATCACGTGCTTCAGCTTTGTCGTGGCCAACGAGGCTTTATGCAGAATGTTTGCCTCTCACCTGCCTCTTTTGTGGTATGCAAAACATAGACTAACAGTGACATAATCCTCAATGTCATTAAAGATGTCTGTTATTCATCGTGGTGTAAGATAGGACAGATGAATTTTACTCGTTTGTCTCACTATGGAGTCACTTTGAGATGTAGATCGCGACGTTTCGACTGCTATACTGCTAGTCTTTATCAGGCGATGAGGTCGATTGGTTCGCTGCACCTTGGTCCGCTGCTATTGGTGCATTTCGATCCTCTTTATTATTCCGACTTTGTGGCACTGTTTCCTCATAGGTCTGCATTGTAACTGAGCGCCTGTTGTGCTATTTGATTGTAGGTATCCATGCTTCAGGAACTTCGATTCCACTATCTCTATTGATGTTATTTGGATGAAGTGTTATGTGGATAGCTTCCTTGACCCTTCGTGTGTACCAGTGAGGGTCACGGTCAACATCTCAAAGTGACTTTATCGTGAGACAAACGAGTAAAACTCACCAATTGTAATCCATAACGCTTGCAAGAGGATTTCAACAAATGTAGCTTAAAGAAGAGGCAATCATTTTCCGTGCTTCAGTCTACACAAACATGAGAGTTAAACTTTGGGCCTGCGAAATGTTTGGCTTTCCCGGTCGGAACAAACATGAGAGTAAATTGGGGGAGTTAAATATATAGAGTTATCATCATTATGTCCTCTTTTGAAATTTTGACGAAAAAAATTATTTGATAGGGTATTCATCCTTCTTGAATGTGGTAGAGCACGTTGTGGCTTACTGTTGCTAATTTTGTCTTGCAGGGAAGAAGCATTTCTTTTACCGGCTATCAAATTGCCCATGCTTTGTGGGGTTAGTATAGTAATGGCTAATTTGCAAGCTACGATTTGTCGGCCCTGGTTTGTATGGGAATTTGGTCTGTTCGAGAAACAGTTAGGGATTGACACTTGGACGGACATGCAAACTCCTACCCCGGCAGGGTGGATGGAACCCTTTCCCGCATTTCGTTTTTGAGACAATTTTTTTTCTTTCGTTTAAGAAATAGCCCTTTGGTTGGTCTGTGGAAGGCGCGGTGGCCTCATGGTTAGTGCGCTCGTCTCCGGATCGAGCGGTCCGGGATGGAGCCCTGGCCGGGGACATTGTGTTGTGTTCTTGGGCAAGACACTTTACTCTCACAGTGCCTATCTCCACCCAGTTGTATAAATGGGTACCGGCGAACTTAATGCTGGGGGAAACCCTGCGATGGACTAGCATCCCATCCAGTGGGGAGTAGAAATACTCCT